TTTTAACATCAGGAAGGATACATATTTGTATCTTATCTGCATTTCTGATAATGCTCTCTGAAACGCTGCTCACGAGACTCGGTTAATAATCGTCGATTGATCTCGCTGAAACGACAAAGAAGCGACGAAATGAGACGGGTTTCGACGTCGACGAATGACGCCTCCGCGCATTTAAAAGTTTTCTCCTCGTTAAAACGTATTCCTCGGGGTCGTCGTCGGCAGAGCCTAACGAGAGAGTGCCATGTTCCGCACTGTTGTTTCTTTCTTTCTTTCTCCCTCCCTCCCTCCCTTCCTTTCCCTGTCTCTCCCTCTCTCTCTTTCTTTCTTTCTTTCGCTGTTAGAAACACATTTATTAATGGCAGCTCGGCTCATCCCGCCGCTAAGTACCGGTAAGAGAGTACCCTCCCTGTTGCTTTTCCTCTTACCGAGAGCCTTCATTCACTTTAGGTAGCTGTCTGCTGTCCCGTTCGGAGGGCGGAGAAAGAAAAAAAGACGTTACATTGTCGACGCCTTATTAATCCAGAGGCGAGGGTGAGAGGATGAAGACTGCAAGCTTCGGCGAGGTGTCGTGGGGTTGGGTCCTTTGAAGAAATTAAAAGAACAGAGGGTATAATGTGAACACATCTATTCCCTAGTACCCGCCGTATGCCTCTTCGCTGCCCGCTTCACTCTCCACTCCTCCATCTTTCTCCTCCTGCATCTTTTTTCTTCTTTCTTTTTTCGCTCTTCTTCTTCCTTGCAAGAGCGAGACCCATTAACATTGCCGTTACGCGAACTCTCGCTAAGCACCAGTCAGATAGACATCTCGAGTCTTGTCACGGTTTCTTAAAATCCGACTTATATCCCGAGCTAGTCTCCCTTCTTGAACTCATTCTCTAAACGTTTTCTCTCGCCTTCTCGAGAATCCCTTCCTTTCCGCCTTTTTAATACGCCGTAAAATAAAACGAGAAATCATTCGCTGACGAGTAGTCAAACAATAGAATGTTTATCCAGTCGATAATGATAATTTTACTTGACATACACAATAACGTCACGTTACATCATGCAGTCATGCAAATTGATAAACATGTAATGGACTGCCATTGTTATCGTCATCATGAAATATTGTACATTATTTTATAGAATACGCGTTCATTTACCAACTTTGAAGATTTATACCGCTCGAGTGATACGCACCCTCTACATTTGTATCAATTCACATTCGGTAATACGCACGTCACCGCGGACTCGAAAAGAGAAGTACAGCCATTCCGCGCGAAGAGCGGTCGTCATAATGTAAGGCATCTGCGTAAGGATGGCAAACGAGGACGTTAGCCGAATAATGCAAAGCAAACCCGAGCTGAGATATAGTCCGGCATTTGTTCATATTAAGGCGCTGTCAGAGCGCTCGCAATGTTCGCACGTCGAGGTCAACCCTCTCCCTCTATACGCGACATTTCGGCCGCGTGCCCGCGTATGTTTTGAAATTATATAGCGCGAGAACGCCCGACGTCGTTAGTCAACTTGCGCCGCATCTCGCTGTTAACTATGTGTATCTTGAGCACCCGTTACATCGCCATTTGTCAGGTCCGCTTCGCCGTACGCGCGCAATTTCGCGCGTTAAGTCGCGCGCACCCAGCGCGATATTTCGGCCGGCTGTGACAACCCGCGTCCGGGATTTGTCTTGGACCGATGTTTGTGTCGCGCAAACAACGACTAAACGTTACAATGCGAAAGGAATACATCGTCAAAGATCATGTTGCGCCTTTCCAGGCATTAGCCAAAATATTCTCGTGCGCATCGTCTTAAATATAATATATATCTCGTTTCATATAGTATTTTATCAATAAATATGTTTCATGGAAAAATAATACGTATATAGGTACGTATAGAGACCCCACGCAAAAATCGACAATTGTCGTAAGTGTAGTCTGGAAATGTTTTTAGTCTTAAAACATTCAATTCGACGAAAAGCGAAATTCAGACTCGTCGTCTGGCAAGCAGACTTTGATCATAAGTGACACGCGCGACTTTACGGTAAACCTAAGTTCTAAACTAATAAGGCAACACCACGGTTTCATGATCGAGGAAAACGGGGCGGGAGGGAGAGCGGAGGTAGAAACGACGATGGAGGCAGAAGGGTCCAAGTTTCATGGAGCTGCGAACCGGGTCACCGATTACGACGTTGATCGTCTACAGGAGACAACCAAATTGGATAAGTTGAAGAAGCTGAATCTTCTTCGTTGTCCGAATTCCTATTAAGCTTACGAAGATTTCGTCCGAATATATACTTTTCATTTCCATCTATTTATGCCAATTATATATATTTATTCATATTATAATTAATATACGAATACAATTATGATATTTATTTTCATACCGAATAAATTTTCATTTCTATTATTATAATTCCAAACAAAGTATTCCAAATTTTTTGTGCGTTTCGTAAGAAATTAACAATTTTATGTACGTGTATCTTAGTTTTGAACATATCTATATTGAACATTTTTATTGAACCTAAAATCAAAACGTTGTTCGGTTTTCATTTTGGTATTTTCAATTTATATTTTTGTTACCGTATTCCCAATGTTTCTTTATTTGTTAAAAATATAAGTCACCAAGATCGATGTTACGAAAAAAAAAAAAAAAGAAATTATCGCTGATAGAGCACCACATTCGTTTCCCAGTTCGGGTTTTCGCGGCCGAAAGAGAACGAAAAGCGCGCTAGGTGGTTGGCGTCGGGTGTAAATTTGCATTGAACGAAATGAGGCGCTATGGGGGCATTCCAGTCCGAAGTTAATAGCTTCCCAACGATTAACTGTATCCCTCCACCCACGTACCATCCGTGCGCTACCCTCTTCACCCTCTCGCTGTCTCTTTCTCTCTGCCTCTTCGTCGTTCATTCCTCTCACAACCCTCCACCCTCTTTCTCTCTCGTTCTCTATACACATATCGTCCTTCTTGCTTCTCGTCGCACGCGCCACGTCCCAGCTACCTATATCGTCCCTTCTAATAATGTATGTCCCAAAGGTCGCGAAATAACTGACTTCGACGGACGGCAAATATCGCGGATGTCGTCGGTCGATCGAATGAATCGTAAATCAGTCAGGGAAAAAACGTAGCAAACACGATCGATATTCACGAGGAGCGACTCGTTCGGTTTTTTTTTTATCGCGACGATTATGGTTTTTGCTTGCCTGGAGGGTCATCAATGACACGCGGGGCTTGGAAAAGGCAACGCCACTGCAGCAGCCAATAGTTTCCAGGCGCGTGAAGGCGCCACGGGGGTTATAGGGCATAATTTAGTGGACAGTTTGATATACAAACAATCTTTAATGAAATTCTTGGTGTTCATTAATAACGCATTACAGCCTCGCGCGCCGGTGTGTCGGCATCGGTACCCGGGAATCCCGCGCTGCCTCTCCCTTTGCCTCTCGCTCTTCACCGTCCCTTTTATACCCTTCCATTTTCCTGCTCATACTCCGATGCCGCCGCTTCCGCGTGTACCATCGTCCGACACCCTTTATCGCCCTGGCTTTCAACTAACCCTTTCCCTCGCCGCCCATTGGGATGCCCTAGATGAACTATCGCGCGAATATGTTTTCACACTGTCGCAATGACAATTCAATTTTCTGTCGATCGTTCATATCAATATAATTCCTTCGCTTATTTGAAAAGAAAGAGACGATTTAATCGAATTTGTATTATATTAACTACACTGTTTTATTCTTAATTCGAGACGAAGTATAGTTAGTGAATGATTTATGTCCGTGTTCGTTAATAGATAATAGATTAACTTTAATTGGTTTAACTTATTCTTTATCTCTTTTTCTAATTTTTAGAACTATAGAAAACGATGAAGTAAGGTTTAATCGAGAGTAAAGTTATATTGAAGGAAACGGGCATCAACGAAGCAATAATTTTTAATAAGTATAAGTTCTAAAAGAAATATAAAATTTTATTAATATAGAGCTCTACATTAACGTATCTTCTAAAATATTTTTTATTTTGAAAATTCGCTACATGTCTCGTAAAATTTTGTTTGCTTTGTCTGCACGTGGCGAGACCACTTCGAACGCGAGACACGATATCCGATATATCGAGACGAAGAAGTCTCCCCTATCGGAGAAACCCGGGAAATAACCAGCCTCTGGGTAGGAAAAAAAGTAATTGCCCCTTGATACACGCCGATACCCCACCGGCGGGGATGCCGCCTCGTAATGATGTTCGCGTTGGCGAACTTAGTTCGAAATTAAATATCGGGGCAAGGAGGTGGAACGATGGGGGCTGCGGAAAAGAACGTCGAAGAGGTATCAGGAGGTTGCGAAGGGGGAAAGGAGAACGGGCGACCGTTGTGCACCTGCCTTTTTCCCGGGACGGCATGATAAAAATCAAACTGGAAAACAAACGAGGAGTGGGATCGTATTATAAAGTTTTTAATCGATAGACGATGCGCGTCTCGGGAGACGGGAGAAGCAATGGGACGGGTAGGTATCTCGCGAGTAGATAGGTAGACAGACCGAGAGGGGGGTGGAAAAAAAACGAATAGGAGGAAGAGGCTCCAAAGAGAAAACGACGCGATCGGGCGAGGAATCCTGCGGCGTGCTTACTGGCTCGTGTAATAATGAATTTATACCTCGCGCAAGAGCGCTTTCGGGATCGGCGACATACCACTTTTCTTTCTCGCTTCGCCTGCCTTCTTAGAATTTTAATTAATGAAAACGTCCCAGCTGATGAGATCTTTGCTTGAAGATTTTTTATCTTACGAATACGTATCCGCATTATTACGTTACAGAAACGAGGTGCAATTCTATAGCTATGACGTCTATCTCTATCTCGCATTTGTTTCTTTATTAAAAGTGACTTCTTTATGCTGTATAACGCATCGCGTCTTTGGAAGCGAATAAATGAAATTTGAAATCGGAGAATCTTATATTTTCAATTCCTTATATTAGTTACATTTTATAACTAGTAATGTTATATTAGAACAAAATAATATTTATGATTTTTATTTTTTATAGACGCTACGACCAACGGATCCCCCCATATTTGAAGTCACAAACGTACTGATAAACGAGACAGCAACGCAATTGGCACTATGGGGTAAACTGGGCATTGCTCTCGTGGAATTGCCGAAGCGATGGGGCAAGGACGCCGTTTACGAAGGCGGCAAAAAAGAGATTCTGTGCACGTAAGTACATATTAAAAATAGCTTTCTTTTATCTTATTCGAATATTAATTTTAGAAATCTTTGCACTGCCTCCGTGGGAAAATTGCACTTATATAAAATTATTATGCATGTAATAAAGAAAAGTCTATTTACCTAAAAATCTTTGCTCGAATTGGACATTCTATAAATACATAAAAAGTATTAAGCACAAAGAATTGCCTTGATCTAATAGAGCATTTTTCACTCAAATGCGTTAAAAAATTTTAATCCTTAAAAAAGAATATTGGAACACGGACAATTATATCGCGATAAAACAGGTACGTGAATGACCAGCAGCGATTTGTTCTTAATCACGTATATCTTAAAATCTTTTGAATGTAAAGCATACATTGATTAAAATGTATACTAATATACTTGTTAACGGTTTCTCCAAGTATAGGAATGTAACAAAATAATTAAATTAGAGGCAAGGGGCGAGACCAATGTCGACTATCGGTATCTCCTTGCTATCCTTGCCGAACCATGGCATGCTGTCCAGAAAGAAACGCGTATCAAGAAAGTCCAACTCGTAAAAACGGAGATAAGGTTAGCGGCGGATAATAAATCGCGCTATCTGCCTTTTCTCCCCCACGCCATCGCTGCGTCTCCTGTAGGCGTCCTAATATCCTGTAATTAAGAGGGTGTTACGGTGACGCCCGGGGAACCCCTTCGGCCTCCCTCTTATGGAATTAAGGTGGCTTTACTCGGTTAGTTTTCAAAAGTTCCGGGGGGCCGGGAAGCACCGCTGAATACTAACCGCCTCATCAACGACACATGCCACCCGAGACTACTGTCTCGCGTAACATTACCCGGTAGTGTGTGCCACCGTCGCCGCCCCCGGTCCCGTTTGCGCTCCGACCCCCGGCCGTAATCTTTCGGGCGATTAGAACGTCGCGCAATTACGGGCGCCGTTGGAGATTATGCTCTCTCGCGCATCGTTGGATCACGGTGCAATCGATCGTAGGTCAATCGATACGTGTGTCCGAACACCGTTCGCGTATCCAACTGATGTCCATTCTGTAATATCACGCGTCAACAACTTATTTTTCAGCGGAAAAATCACGATCTCGTATAACGTTTTGAAAGTTCAAAAGAGATATACGTAAAAGACATATTTCTAAAAAATAACATTAAAAATCTAATTAAAATGCTGTATATTGGAGTCCTTTAAAGTAATACAATGCTCGTAAAATATCTCAGTTCCGAGGATAAAGATATAGATATCGCGTGAATCTAAAAACTTGCCTCTGAATTAAGCAGTAATTAATAGCGAAATACGATGACTCTTAATCTGCCGGCGGTATAAACGCGAAAGGGGTAACCGGCTCGTTTTAAGTCGTCCCACGCATTATAATTTCATAATAAGCTGAATTCAGAATAAATGCAGGTACCTTCCCCGACTTCCTGCTAATTCGTAATTCTGAACTTTTTCCGGAAGCGAACGAACCGCTTATTTCTCGAGAGGGAAAGGAAGAGCGAGGGTAACGCGAAAGAGAGGAAGAGGAGAGAAAGAGGAAAGCAAAGCAGAGAGGAGCAACCGACCGCTGCTAAACAAACCGACCAGATTAAGAGCGGCAGTTTGCGCTAAAGTTTTTTCGTCGTTTCACTTAGGCGATTTTGCCCGGCCTGCTGGGTTCGAGCGAATTTATTAAGAACGCACGTAGAGCGCATTATGCGTGCACACCGCGCGAAAGATCGCGCGGAGCAGTTTCTGAGTGAGTCGCAGCCATTAGAACGAATCTCGGGGATTTAATGTCTGCCATCTTCCAGCCGGCTTAAATAAGGCTAAATGAAGTTTATGCGTTATTGCTGGAGAAACTTCCGGTAGACCCTGCAGCGGCATGGCCTCTAGCCAATGACCTGAAGCTCTCCGAGTGTCGCGATTTGAAACTGGATACACGATAATACGATTCAAAAGAATTATCTTTCATGTTATAAAAGATCAAAGATTATTAAGGAGATCACATATAGGGAAATCAACTTCAAGAATTGTTCGTAATTTGTTGTGAAAAGTTTATAAAATTCTCAGCTCTTACGCGGCATTGTAATTACTCTGAAAAAAATTAAATTTATTAAATATTTGTTTGAATATTTCTAAATAATAAATATTTATTAAATATAAATATATATTTATTTGATACACAAACCATTAATTTGAATTAACTATCATTTTTTATTGAGCAAATATTTCTACTTTTACTGTAAGTTTATATTTACTTATTTTTCAATACTATTCAGAGAAATATGTATTAAGATTTAGTAAATTTTTTTCAGTGTACTTATATAATTTTATTTCGCACTATTTGTGTACTCACAAATGTATTTTATTTTAATTGTGATAAAGTTAAAAAAACATAACTACATGAAATAGATCAGTGTCCCAATTATAGCAAGTAGTACCTGTCCGCGAACAGATATTTGTCTAGTTATTTCTGAGTTGCAGACGTGGTTTAGGTAATTTTCGTTCCAGCATTGAAATAATTGAAGAGATTAAAGATGCAAGAAGCAACTTTCGATAGGAAACACTCGACGTCCTTGTCGTTCTCGTCCTGAAACCGAATAACAGGTCCCGCAGCTTGGCGAGCCACGGCGGCGGAGCGGAGAGGACGGTTTTCGGATTAAGCAAATGGCGGCAATAATAGTGATTATTCGGATTATGATATCAGAGCGCGAAGTGGGTTCGCCTGGACTTACTGGCAGCCACTAACTGCCGCGCCGCCAAATCCTGACTTCAAGACACCGGATTAAAACTATTACCACTTCGTGGCACCCCTTCGGTCTCACTCTGTTTTATTCCGAGTTCCTTTTTACCCGCACCCCGACAGACTCGCGCGTTTCTCTCACCTTTAGCAGACTTTTTCGCCCTCCTCAGATGTTTTCAGCATTCCCTGAGGATCAAGAATCTGGCAGTTTCGCCAGTTTAGCAGTAATTGAGAAAAGATTTATGCTAATACAGTTTTCGCAAATAATATTTACGCTAATATGTTTTCGTTTCATCAAGTTAAGAGATTCTTTGATTTATATAAAATCTATTCGCGTAATTTTTATCAATAAAATTACAGGAAAGTTATTTCCATTTGTTATTCAATCAGTTGATTTTCTGATATATACATACATTATTTTTTTTATTTAGCAAGAGAGTCTAAATTAAAAAATTAGACTTAAATTTATATCTGACCAAACTTTATCTACCAACATCTAACGATTCTAAGTACTCAATAACAAAAATTTATCCTTTTATATGATTTAAATTTCTAGCACGAAAATAGAACTTTTCGCTCTGTTATCTTTCTGTAATACATAATCGATATAATCTTACAATGTGAGTAAAATACTCATTCCGTCGCGAGGTATTGTTGATGTTAAAAATTGTACTACTTTACGAGTGCGTTAGACGTGCTCATAAAGCAGTAAATAACAACAGTTTAACCACGATATAACGGTTTGTTCTCCTTCCCGAGGTAGCAGCGACACTCCCCGCGGATAATCGCTATAGGAAGTAAGTACAATTCCTACCGCATAATGCGGTCACGGTGTGGGTGAGGAGCGCTACACCGTCGCGAGTCCCGGTATTAATTCGACAACGAATTGCGAAAGCGGCGCCATTCCGCGCGACACCGTAAGATCGTCGCCTCTTGGTTGGCTCGCGCGGCTAATTATTGTTTTAAGGATTACCGTTATGTGTTTATTATGCGGCTTGCCCTACCCTCCCCCTTCACCCCTCACCTGCCTTAATATTCGGTAGATTTCAGCTTCTCCGGAAACGCGGTAGGAGAAACCTACGCTGTTTCTTCCCTTCCACCCGCGGCCCCTCCCACTATCCTCCGCCACGAAAAGTCAGCCTACGTTTATGAATAATTCTCACCTCTTATAACCACCCCCTCGTCTCCCCTGCCGACCTTTACCCAATCCACTCGCCAGCATCGCGAACGTCTCGCCGAACTACCCTCGGAGTGTTCGCCTCGTAAACCCCTAATGCCGGCTCTTCATCTGCGAGCTCCCAGATTCTGAGCTTCGCGAAACAGGCGAATCGCCATAACGCTTGCACCAAGAAGCGGAAAGTAGATAATGGACATGTGTAATTATAGTACAAGCTTTCTCCGACTAACGATCTTATTAAAAGACTCTCATAACAGATAAGATTACCGTCTTGTAGAAAAATGTACGACATTCTTATCACGGATGTATGCGATTCAGGACGACAGTTATCAGAAGTTTTCCTGTTGCCGAGTTTCAACGAAATTAATATTTATAGTATATTTCGTTATACTGATTAATTAATAAGATAATAAAATACTCGAGTGATTACTCTTACCGCTCTGTCAAAACGTGAAGGTTTCAGGAAAGAAATTATCATGCACGGCAGGATGGTGCATCGACCGGAGTTTATAGTCGAGATTTATTGCCCCGATCATCTTTACGACACGTCGGCATTTAACAAGCGATAAAATCGCAGATCCCTGCGATATCGCTCCGCGTACGTGCGCGATGAATTGAATTTATATATTTTTTTTTTTGTGGATCGAACAAAAAATGCAGAATAACATTGCGTTCGGAGTGGAAGAAATATTTGTCTGGGCGTGATGCGCACATGTAATGTTTATGGCGAAAGAGCGTGAACGTGTACACGTCGGCGACGGTATTTTATATCTTCCACACATGACCGCGCATTCCTCAAAATTTATATTAAAAACCATCGTATCGCGAGTCACTGTTTGCACGATGTAACTGCCAGATTACGATTTTACCGAAAAATATTCGGTTTTATGCTGTACTTCAAATCACCGACAACCATACTTATCTAAAAATTAAATTAAACGATTTTTTCACACACACCAAAATTGTAGATTAATTTAAAGAAAATCATACAATTAAAATTTAAATAATAAGTAGATTTCTGAGTATTTAGGCCTAGATAAATCGTGTCAGTAGATAAAGGTATAAGCAGTCAGACATCAATTTCAGTAGAGAAACTATTCATT